CCGCCTCTTCCGCCCAGGACGCCCCGCCCACGGAGCCCGACGGCACCACCCCCAGCCTCCTCCTCTGCCGCCCAGGACGCCCCGCCTACGGCGCCCGACGACTCTGCCCGCTCCGCCCCCAGTCACCTCCTCTTCCACCCAGGACGGCCCGCCCACAGCCACCTCCTCTTCCGCCCAGGACGCCCCGCCCACGGCGCCTAACTACCCCGCCAGGCCCACCCACATCCCCCTCCTCTTCCGCCCAGGGCTCCCGCCCACGGCGTTCGAAGGCCCCACCCACAGACTCCTCCTGTTCCTCCCCGGACGCTCCGATAGCACTGCCTACAGGCACCTCCTCTTCCGCCCAGGACGTCCCACCACAGCCACCTCCGCTTCCGCTCAGGACCTCCTCACCCCACAACCACCTCCTCTTCCGCCCAGGACGCCCCGCCCACGGCGTCCGTCCGCCCCGCGAGCCCCGCCCCCACCCTCCTCCTATTCCGCCCAGGACGCCCCGCCGATGGCGCCCGAAGACAGGCCCCGCCCGTAGCTGCCTCCTGTTCATCCTAGGACACTCCGCTAGCCCCGCCCACAGCTGCCTCCAGCTCCTCCCAGGACGCCCCTCCCGCGGCGTCCGGCCGCCACCGACGCCCCGCCCACAGCACCGCTTCCATTCCCCAACCCTGACCGCCCCGCCAGCCCCGCCCACAGCCGCCTCCCGTTCCTTCCTTGACGCCGCTCCCACCGAGGCCGACCGCCTGCTAGCCGCGCCCACAGCGGCCGTGGCTCCTCCCAGGATCTTTCGCTCTCCGCGGCGGCGCGGCCTGCGAGCACGGGAGGTGGGTGGCGACGCGCGCAGGCGCAGTGTGGCGGGTGAGTCCCCAAGGCGGGGACCGCTTGAGCGGGCTGCGGGACTTTCTGCGTCCGACTCTCTGACAAGCTTCGGTGTCAGTTCGGTGCTGGGAGCCAGCGGGGCACTAGGTTCCCGGCTTAAGGTGGCGCCCTCGCGCGCCCGCTCTGCACGTAAGACCCCTGGTCGGGGCGCCTGCGCGGCTCACTGGGATAAGCGACTGCCTTGGGCTCAGGTCGTGGTCCGAGTCCTGGGACGGAGCCCCGCGTCGGGCTACCCGTTCCGCCCGGAGTCTGCTTCTCCCTCTGACCCTCTCCCCTCTCTCGCTCCCAAATTAAGTCTTAAAACAACAACACCTGGGGGGGGCACCCCCTTCACTGTTGCATAAACACGACAGAGCAGGAGCGAGGAGACCGCGGCCCAGGAAAGCCACGGTCAATGACCGCCTTCCCCTCGCGCAGCAACCCCAGTGCCGGTTCCCAGAACGTCGGTTTCATGACCCATGAGGAAGGTCTGGGCACGTCGTCCGTGCCATCACGCGCAGGCACGGGTAGCGACGGGGGCTGCGAACCCGGGATCAGGGCATCCTTTGTAAAGATGTCAGAAGGAGTAAGTGAGGACCAAGGCGGCTCAGTAGGTGTAACGATATGCGAGGTCCAGTACCTGGGACAAGGGACCAGGGACACATCTGACGCCCCGGGTGTGGTGTGCAGTGTGTAATGCCAACGTGAGAACAAGCAGACACAGGCAGCTCCAGTCAGTCTCCACCATACGAGGCCATGAAAGGCCTCCTGCCCTGGGGGAGGTCTTAGTGGGCGCCCTCCAGTTCTGCCCACGGCAGGCAGCTTCTCATTCAGCATGATCCGATGAATGAGGCCTGGGGCAGCACCAGCTCTGGGACTCAGCTTGATTCCCCTGAATTTCAGGCTGGCGGTCTTTGGACCTCGCCTGTCTGATACATTCAACAAAATTATTGATCCCCTGCTGGTGTGTGAGAGTAAGCTTTATTTCTACTCTCAAACTCTTACAACTTTGCATAAAGTCCTCATCCCTACCTCAGAGATGGCAAAAACTGTAATAATGAACCCCCACACAAACACAACACAGTGAATTTTAATGTCCCACCCACCTTTTGGGGAAGGGAGGTTCCACAACACACTTTTGAAGATGCCCTGAAGGTTGTCTGACACTTAGGTCCAGAAAGTGGATCTCTTACTGGCTTAGGATACTAAAAGGCACGTAAAGTTGGTTGCTCAACCCCTCTGAGCTGGGGTGGGGCAGAAGGTAGACTGGAAGGTGTTCTGGGGCCAACCGGCAAACCACGGTGTGCACTCAAGTCTGGGACGACAGAGGTAGCTGATCCTGGGCGGCTGCTGGGGTGGCCGACGGCAGCCTGAGTGCTCACGGTGGGTAGATGCCGCTCTGGTGGACTTCGTCTGCCCAGTCCACCAGCTCACTGCTCTGAAACCACAGCTGGATCTCCCTCTGGGCCCCTTCCACGGAGTCGCTGGCATGGATGATGTTCCTGTGCCAGAGGACAGGCAGAAAGGTAAGGCACAGACCTCAATGTGCACCTCGGGGACCCTGAGACTACCTGCTCATCCCCTACCATCAAGAAGAGCGAGCCCAGCATTGTGCAGAGAGGAAAGCAAGAACAGGGTTGGAAGACTGCTTCCAGCCTGACCTTGGCCTCTTACCCACAACCTCATGACCAGCCCAGACCATCTCCAGAGCCTCATGTTCCCACCAGTTGTCCCGTGCCAACCCCTCAGGGTGTCTAGCCGGACAGTCAGGTAACAGGAAATGATGGCAGAGTACACACACAACACATAGAGAATGCTTTATCATCTCCTGTGTGCAAAGGGCTTTGAAAAAACTCTTCTAGCAAACATTAGGTGTGTGTGACATCCCAGCATCAAAAGTCTCTTGTGGCTCTACTGTGGCCCAGCAAGATCCCCAGGTCCCAAGGATCTGCCTCAGGGGCAGACAACCACCCCACACTTGGGCCCTCCTCAACCCTGAGGAGCTGGCCCATCAGCTCCGGTGGCTTGAGTGTGTCAGGGCGCCCGGACCTGCTGATGTGGATGCTGAAGTCCCCCCTGATGGTGCCAGGGGCAGCCTCAGCGGAGTCGGTGTGTCCTATCATGGCTCTTGAGGAGCCGACCACGTTGGGACCTTCCCAGACCTGCAGCACAGAGATAAAGGAGGTTGGGAGCGGTGCGGACCACCAAGGACTCAGCAGCTCTGGGCTCAGCCCAGGGCCCTCCACCCTTTCCACCACCCATGCCTGCCATACCATGGCCACCACGGGGCCGGAGGTCATGTAGCTGATGAGGGCTGGGTAGAAAGGCTTCCTCTGCAGGTCATGGTAGTGCTCAGCAAGGACTCTCTCTGGCGCCTGGGTGGCATTGGAGCAAGATGGGAAAGGAGCCCCTAGGCACTGGGGCACTGGCCATGGTGTCCTGACCTCAGGGCACTTTGCAAATAACACCTACATGGCCTGGCACACCAGCAGCCACCTCCCCACCCGTCCCCTGCTACTGCCAACACCATACTCCTCCAGATACAGGGCGGAAATATGAAGGGCTGAGGTCCACAAGAAGCCCCCCACCCCAGTCCCATCAAGGCCACCCACGGGTCAAGAGCCCTGGTACCTGCAGCATCTTCATCCCCACCAGCTTGAAGCCCCTCCTCTCAAAGCGCTGGATCACGTCCCCAACAAGCCGCCGCTGCACCCCATCTGGCTTCACAGCAACCAGGGTCCGCTCCCGTGTCCAGGAGGACCCTCCTTTAGAAGAAGGGGAATCAGGTGCCTCACCCTTTCACATCTCCCTGAGCCCCGAATCCCAGGCCACGGCCCAGGTGTCACCAGAGCAGCCCTGGAGGGGAGAAGCACAGGGTCCACAGCCAACAAATGCCCAGCAGGACTCTGCCTTTCAGGGACTGACAGGACAGTGGGCCCCCAGGTGCTTCCAGGCTGGTGGGAGGGGCCGGGGCACTCACAATGGATCCCATGTCCCTGAGAAGGCATCTTCAAGATCTGGGGAGCCACAGCTCGGGCCACTGGCCACACAGAGGCCCAGAGATGCCACACGGGAAAGAAAGCACTGTTGCCGGCCATGCTTTTGACCCCTGTCCTTTGGAGGGAGGGCCGGTCCAGCCGGCCGCACGAGGAGGACCCAAAGCTCATCTTGTGGGTCTGCGGTGAAGGATTGGCAGGGAACCAGGCAGTAGTAAGGGGCACTCTCCCCACCACGTGGGCCACACACGACAGGACGACAGAAAGCTAGGGACCGAGAAGCAGGGCGGAGGGCTTCCTGTCTGAAGTGGGGGGCTCTAGAGGGCTCCTCCGCTCACAGCCTCATTGGCCCGACGAACGCAAGGCCGCTAGAGGCCTTCACGGGAGGCGGCTTCCAGACCCATGTAGAGGACTGACCCCGGCCCAGCCCTTCTGTTCTCCAGGGGACACCACCAGGGGGACGGAGGCATCATTACCCCTTACAGCCCCAGGCCACAGAGTTCTGCTGACCCTCAGCCCTGGGTCCAGGGTCAAACGTGCTTTTGAGAGGAGTCTACACCCTGGGTGTCCTGCAGAGTCCTGCTCTGGGGGACAGCAAACTGGAAGACCAATGATAGAGTCGGGGCAGGCCAGTGTCCCTGGGGGTGTCTGCAGCTGCCCTTTCCCATCCCATAACGTGTGCTGGGCCTGGACGCGGGCACTGGGCGCCCCACTTCACTTCAAGACTGAAGGAAGCCCACTGCAGGAAGCCCCCTGGTTTGTGCCCCTAAAGCCCAGTGTCTAGGGGCTGGGGAACCTGGCCTGCCGCCAGCTAGCTTGTCCGCTGGAAGGTGGCAGTTCACACACCGAGACATCCGGCTCTCAGGGAGCACCCTGTGGGCCGCAGTTAGGGGGAGAACCGGCTACAGATAGGGGCCAGAGGGAGTTAGGGCCAGCAGAAAACGCCCCGAGGGCAGCGGCTCCGCGGGGAGTGCTCGTCTGCTCACAATGTCCCCCGCAGCAGCCCCAGTCCGCGGGGACCCTCACCCCAGCCTTCTGTGGCCACCAGGCCTCCTGCTCCGGAGCCCGCAGGGGACCCTGCCCCCGAGCAACCTGGGGCGGTGGGCGGATGGTGGGCGGGGGGTGGGGGCAGTGGGAGGTGGGGAAAGACGTGCAGGGCGCCCCCGGCCCGCCCGGCGAGACCCCGAGGCCATCTACAAAGGCCAGGCAGCCTCGGGTCGCACGCGCGCCAACAAAGGCCGGGCTACGCCCCCCGCCCGCCTCGCTCTCGGCCGGTCGCGGGCCACTCACCCGAGCTGGGGCGTACGAGCAGTCTCGGGCCCGGGACCCGCGGACCGCTCAGCAGCCCCGGCAGCGCGGCGCGCCCCAAGAGGCCGCCCATGACCCCCGGCCCGCGGGCCGCTGGCTGAGCGCAGAAAGAGCGCGGGCGACTGAGCCCGGGGGGAGAAAGGGCGGAGCGGAGGGAGAGGGAGGGGCGGGAGGGAAGAGGAGGGCGGGGCGGAGGGAGAGGGAGGGGCGGGAGGGAAGAGGAGGGCGGGGCGGAGGGAGAGGGAGGGGCGGGAGGGAAGAGGAGGGCGGGGCGGAGGGAGAGGGAGGGGCGGGAGGGAAGAGGAGGGCGGGGCGGAGGGAGAGGGAG